CTGAATGGCAGCTGCTCAGGGAACAATTGGAACCCAATCCAAGATGAAAAAGCTTTACCACTAAATGGAAAAGTACAATAAAAACACCCTTGGTTCATGTTTACTTTTTGAATTCCGATAAGAACTCACTTCATCAGTGAATTCCAAATCCCCTGAACTCACAAATGCCTGGCAGCTCGGGGTGCGTTCACAGACAGGAGTCCATGGGCCTTGTTCCGTGTTGCCAGCCCAGGAATGGTATGAAATGAGATCACGTGTCATTTCCCCAAATGGTCTGTGGGAGAATTTTTTGTTTTCTATGCTTCAACAGAGACCCCAGAGTGGAATTCAGCTTTTCACAGTTCATTCCTAAGTTGAACAAACCCCTTTTCTATGGGGACCTCAAGAATGTTAGAAATTCCCCCATCTTTACATGGTTCCAAGCTGGGACTAATCCCTTATCTCTTCATGAGCTGTTGGGCTCATGCTGTTTTGATTTCACCGGAACGGCTGAGATTCTGAGCTCTGGCCTCCTCTCTTCAATGGGTCCCTTCGGGCCTCTGAGCTTAACGTCTTCAATGGAGATCTTGTGGGATAATGTTTCCAAATTTGTTTTCCAGAGCCTCAGCCCCTGGGAGCAGACTTGCCTGGGTTTTTTCTGTCTCTGCCCACCCCTCCCTTCTCCTTCCTGTCTTCCCCTCGTCGCCCTCCCCTTCTTCTCCAACAGCAGCTCCCTCCCTGTTGGCTCCATCACTCACTACTGACCTTCGAGGATCGATCAAGGCTTTTGGTGGCTGTGGTCAGCTGGGGAGATCCAGAGGTACCAAAAACCAGTTTCTCATGTTCAGCCTCCTCCATCTTTCACTAGATCCTAACAGATTTGGGGGTTTTAAAAGCTTTGTCAACCTATGAAACCTCTTTTCACTCATCCCTGTCTTTGAATCTCCAGGCTAAAGGACCAGGCCCCTGTTGCCAACTCTCTTCTTCTTCTTAGTAATGGAGCTAGCCTGATCTGCTTTTGGGTAAATGGTAGCCCCACAAAACCCCAGGTCCAGGTAAAGCCATTACCCCACTTCTGATGAAAAGTATGTGGGGATGGGTGAGTTCTCCCTGGGTGGCCCCCCCAACTTGTGCTGCCCTCTCCCTTCCTAGAGACCTCAGCTCTGTTTCCACCCCTTGGATTGCTGTGCAAATAAGAGCATCTACCTGAAGCAAATGAGCCAAGAGCCTCGACAAATCCAGATTCTCCAGCAAATCAGATGAAGCACATTATGCTTTAGGCCCAGTGCCGCTCAGGGCCCAGGCACACAGCTGTGTGATTATTTTATGCCTTCAAGTTACAATCAGGTTTCAGATCTGACCCCCCACATCCTGACTAGCACACTTCATATGTACAAACTGTTAGAGACTTACTTGGGAAACGAAGGAGGAGCATTCCTCCAGTGTATTTCCCAGATGCAGACACTCACACCGGAATATATGTCTTGTTCAAAGCCACCTTGAAGTCATTTGTGCACTCAAATTAGCACTTATGAAAAAGGTGCTGGACCCAGGGGATGTACACGCTCATAGAAATATCAAGAAACATTTATCGAGAGCTGATTATGTGCCAGCTACTCTTCTGGGTGCTAGGACTATGGCAGTGAACAAAACAATTTTAAAAAAGGTCCTGTTCTCATGAAGATGATGAGCCTTGATGTCCTTGAATAGAGTCCAGCTTGGTGGAGAAGTGGCAGAGGGAAAAGGTATTCTAAAGCTGGAGAAGAGCAGTGCAAGATGAGAGAGGCTTAAGTGATAGATGAAGAACAGCTCTACTTAGCAGGGACGGAGGGAAGAGTAATAGATTGGAAGGCAAAAGAAGAGTCTAGAGACTGAAGCTTCTACTAAAGATGCAGAGAAGGAATATTGAGAGGAAGACCAGGAAAAACCAAGCGGACAGGGAGGTTAAGACGAGGGGCTACAGAATTTGCATTGCAGCTGATGACAAGATCCAGGTAGTGACTGACCATGGGAAGCTGCACTGACGTGGAGTAAAGCTCATGGGAGTGAGCGATTGCTGGGCAGGGTGGTAGGAGCAGCCATCAGAGAAAGGAAGTCCAGGGACCTGCCCATGCACTGAAAGGGAAGAAACACACGGCCCTGTTTGTGCATATTTGGCCATAAAGGGCACATTGTTATCAGGTGTGAACTAAAGCCAACTGTGGTTACCACTTCAAGCATCTGGGGTTTGTTTTCTTTCTCTTCAAATGAAAGTAACCATGGGCAGGTATCTGTGGGTCTCAGTTTCCCTCTGAAAACCAAGCTGTTGCTGAATTTCCTTAACAAAGTGTTTTCTTTCTAGTACAGAATTGAAAGAAAGAAATTGCTGGAAAGTACCAATTTATTACATGCTCTCTCCCTCTAGCTAACTGAGGATGGTGAATTTCACTAATACAGGAACTTCAGTCTTGGTTTGAGATCTCATACCTCCCTGAAATACACGTTTGCTCCTACAGTTTGTCCTGAAAATAATACACTGATAAAGTCTATGCTCTTTCTGTGTATTCTGGTTCTTAATTATAGCTTTGCATAGCAGAAAATGGTTATATAACTTTTTTATTGGTTTTTTTGTTCTGCTTTGCTTTGCCTTATTTTACAAATTTTATTGTGATTTCTAAAACGTCTGGCATTCCTTAAGGGAGTCATGTCATTTGTGTGGATGAATATCTCTACCTGACAGGACTGGAAGCTGGGGCTAGAAGTCCTGACCAAAAGGCAGATGCATTCGTAACACTTGTCTCCCCAGAAACTCCTGTTAGGAAGGACAAAATAATTAAAGGACAGAACAGACAATCACAACATTTGGTGCCAGCGTCTGTGCAATTTGGCCAGGGCTCTGTGACCCGTTTCTTACCTGATCCCCTTGTAAGCAGCAAATAGTGGGGTTGGGAAGGCCTGTATTCGCCTCTTGGGTCTGCCACTGTAAATGGCAAAGCCTCATTTTCCTCAATGTCTCATTGGAAATAGGATCCCTTTCCCGCCCCCACCTCTCCACCAAGCTGCATCCTGTTCCAGGAGGTCAAGGCCTACCATCTCCATGAGAACAGGGATTTTTTGCTGTTTTGTGCTCCACCATAGGCCCAGCAAACAGAAGAGTGGCTAGCACATAATCAGCTCTCAATAAATATTTCCTGAATGAATAAATGAATGAATGACTTCATTACTTAACCGCCCGGGGTCTCCACACTCTTCTCTCCTTCCCTCTGGATGGGCAAGCTGCTCCTCCTTTATGCTCCCATCACATTCTGTGAGCACTTCCAGGACTTCTGGACCCCAAGGGAACATCAGGATGATCGGTGGTGTCTAAACACATGTGCATCCCCTGTCCCAGCCCCCGAGAGTCTCAGCAAGGTGTGAGCTGGGGGCCTGGTGTGGGAGAAGCCCAGGTTTCTGAGATCGTCTTGTTGACTAGACTGGGGCTTCCCTGAGGACAGGGACTATGTCTGTAGGGGTGAGCATCCCCTGGCTGCAACCCCTGTTTCATGAGTGCTTATGTCTAAGTGTCTGGCATGTAGCAAATGCCTACAAGGACAGCTGTGTGAACATTATGGTCCTGACGTTGATGGGTCTTCTCCTCACCCCCAGAGGCCTAGCAATCAATCCTAAAGCCCCCTTCACAGCTTATCCCAGACAGTGGGACCTCAAATTGTGGGGGATCTAACATTCTGGCTGAATACCCCAGAGACCCCGAGACAATATGGTAGCATGCACATGGGGTCCCCAAAGAATCCTGGAAAAGAAAAGTCTTGTCCCTATGATCTATCTGATTTTCCAAAGGAAGATAGTGTGTTTCAGAAGAAAGAGCATTGGGTTTGGCGACCTCGGACTGTGGTTTGAGATCTGTCTCCATCTCTTCCTAGCTTTGTGATGTAGAGTGACTCACTTAGCTTCTCTCAGTTGTCTCTCACCTGCAAAAGAGGATATTAGGAATAACCATCTCCAGGGTTTTTGTTGGAATGTACTTACAAACATCAAGCTCAATGTAAACATTAACCAAAAAAAAGAGAATAAATCAGAACATAGGCAAGTGTCCCTTAATGGTTGCTAATTAATCTGTGTATTCCTTCTCTCCCCTGTCCCCTCCCCTCCCTGCCATGCACAAACACACACACAGCCCCTTGGTCATTTCACTGCATTTTCTAACAAAAAGGAAGTAGACGAAACATGCATTCTTGTGTTAAAATTCTAACATAGTCCTTAATGGAAGGTGGAGGAAGTCATCGTTTGGGTTGGGAGGAGTTCTGTGAGTGAGCCGCAGATTGCTCAGTCAGCCAGGCCTGCCCTGCAGTTTCCATGGAGAGAGGCTGCACAGGGAGCACACACCTGTCTCCTGTCATGTTGCATCTGAGTCAGCCCTTCATTTTACATTAACAGGCTTTCTCTTCAAAACACTCCCATTTTGCTACTACATGACCCCCTCTCGTGCAGGGAGTTTGCCACACACCGCTCATCAACATGAGTTTGTGCCCAGAATTGCATCTTTCTCTGCGGCTTGGCACATCTACCTAAATAGCTTTGATTAGTTTCAGTCTCTCTTAATAGTAACTGCCGTGTCTGCCAAGGGAGGCTTGACTTGAGCTTAGACTAAACCAATTAGCAGCAAGACCCCCACCCCCACCCCCGCCTTTCTGTTCTGCTCCTGCATCAATGCCTGAATTTGTACCACGAGCAGTCTCCACGGTGGCCGTGCCAAGTTCTAAGCCAGGACTTTCAAAGCCCTTGCCTGGCTGCTGCCACCTCTGGACACAACCTTTGAGAATACTGGCCAGTCTGGGCTGAGCCTAGCTATTTCTGCTGTAAACGACCTTTAATGTAAGATACTCTTCTGATAGTTTCCGTAGCTTATATCACAGCCAAATGCTGGCCTCTAATTTTAGCTTCACCCAGTAGAACAAAGTCACGTGGTTTGTTTAAAATGTTATTTCAGTTATATAATATTTTTTAAACTCTGAAACACATTGAATATGTAAAAGCCCCCAATTTCATCTCGGTGCCAAGAGGTTGCACTGGCGATAGACGCAACACATACCGTGGAGTATGTGTAAGCTGGCATAGAAGCTGAAAGTGAAGGTGGCCGCTTTGCCACCTCAAGTCCCTTTGAGCTGGCTGAGACTCAGTGCTAAGATTCTAAGCAGAATCTAGAGATGACTGGTTATCTCCTGTTTATTGATGATCGTAACTGGAAAATATTACTGAGTGTTGAGCTGGCACAAGTTCCTCTTGAAATGACTAAGCCTGCACAAGTAGGATGAGTCACAGGCACTGCCAGCTTTCAGGCATGGGCCCAGGTTGGGGTTTTTATTATCTTGTGTGTTCAGGCCTCCTTCAAGGGGGACCAGGGGCTGCCCATCCCCGCTTCCTCCATTAGGAAGGAGGTGATGAAGTTGAGCACAGCATAGGGTGGATGCCAATTTTACCTCCTGGGGAAAGCGAGATTTTTCCTCCGCCTCATCATCTTTGATAAAGATTTGGCAAGTCTAGGGGTGCCTTTGCTCCTTGCTCACAGCCAGAACTCAGTCCTGTCTGACAGTCAAAGTTTATTCCTTTCCTTACTCAGTCACTGGATCCCAAATCTGAAACCTCAGGAGATTTACCTTCAATGACCAGTGTGTCATCTTTCTCCTCCCTTTGTATTTTATTTCCAAGGGGGCAGGACAGTGGTGGTGTGGTGCATTTTTATTTAATTAGCTAAAAAGCTCTATGTCTACCTCTGTCTCTCATAAATTAATGCCCATTGTAACATGCCATGTATAGAAATATTCAAGGTTAGGATTAGAATGTCAAGAACTAGAGCTTGATCTTCATCATTAGTCACTTCCTGTCCAAGGAAAGCAAGTGACTAAATAGACTAAGAACAAGGATCTGCGAATCATGTAACATCACATACGCAAAGAAAAGTAGCCTGTGGCAAAGAAAACACATTGTCACCAGCTAAGAGAGCTGCTGCTGGACGGAAGGCTCTAATGGCTTTGCTAGAGGTAAGCTTAGGGTGTTGTGGGAAGCAGGGAGGGACATCCACCAGCCTGGTAGAGTGAATGATGGAGGCGATCCTTGAGTCAAGTGCCAAGGTTCAATAGGAATCGGCCATGCAAAGGCTGTGAGCTTACTGTTCAGAGGGAGCAACAAACATGAAAACCCACAGGAGAGAGGAGCAACGGGTAGTTCAATATGCTGCAGAGGAGAAGCATGGTGAACTACAGAGGATGGCAGGAGTGGATCAAGAAGAGCTTGTGTGACTTGCATGAAGGATTTTAGGCTGGGGAGCAAAGTGATCAGAAGGGCAGTTTGTAAAGCTCAGTCTGGTGGAGGAGCAGAGGAGGCAGGAGTGGAAGCAGGGCAGTAAGGAGGGAAATCAGGAAAGAAATGGAGAATCTAAGTAGTGCTGTCATGAGGACAGGAGACAGAGCAGAGGAATGGTTGGTGAGATGTGGGGTTGGTGAGGGGTGAGGGGTGCACTTGGTCTCCAAGGCTTCCAGCTTGGGCATCAGGAAGAACATCAGAGCCATTCATCAACACTAGGCACACAAGAAGGGGAGCAGGTCAGCAGGAGTGGGGCGGGAAGGGAGGATGAAGTGACCATGAGTTCTGTTTGAGACATGTTGGACTCCTCAATTTCCGGTCATATGCGGCATGAGCGCATGTGGTCTAGTTGCACGTGTTTCGGTAGCTATAAAATCCTCTTTGCCCTATGTGACCCCTCATCCCTGCTCTCAGTAGGGACACAACAGGATGAACTGGGTAAGTGTGGTCCAGGGCTGGGAAAACTGGTCAGCTATGAGTATTCTCTGAATCACAAAGGAGAATGCATTTGTACACATCATGGAAATGCCATGTAGCTCATGAGATTAAAAAGACAATAATCTTTTTAATCCTAATATAGAAGACTATAATAATTATTGTTCCATGAAGCAAAAACTATAGCCCCATTATAAATTCTGAAAGAGCTGACTGGTAGTCATCAATTTTGCCACATTAGTAATAGTGTCAAGATTCAGGTAGCCAACCAATAAATAATTAATAGTGCCTACTATGTAAAAAGGCATGTAGAAGAAGCAAAGATGTGTATGATGGCCCACATCCTCACATCCATTACACATTTTTTAGGGCATTTTTAAAGGGCATTTATGACTGCAAATAACTATAATTAAAGGTATATATTTCATAAGTACTGTGATCCAACTATCAGCAAAACCCCAGGATGGGACAGATTAGTTCTGATTGGGGTGGTGGCAAATCTTGGGGGCTTCTCTAGCCTGAGGTAACATGGGCTAAGGATGCTTATGAATCAGACTGGACCACTCAGGTCTTCATTCTAAATTCCACATGGGGTCTTTCTGCCACCATGAAATAAAAAGGTCACAGTCAAGTTTTACGTGCACACATTAGGCTGCACTATATGAAACTGCCATGTTTATAGGTAAAAAACAGTTGAATATTGACAGTCTCATGTTGTTCGATATAATAATCCTATTGGATCTGAGGCTTCAGTCCAAGAATCCCTAACAAGTTCTCTAGATCCTGCAGCCGCTGAAGAAGCTTGGCTGGTGATTATTATCAGCATCTTCACGTCGGCTCCCGAAGGAGTAACATTCCAAGGAGCCCACTCTTTCCACTGGATCAAACTCACACTGTTCGAAGCTTATGGACAGTTTAGAAAATGCATTGGCGTCACCTCCCTCATTCCCCAGATTCCTGGCCTTGTGGACAGTAAAAGAAAATCAATATGATTGGGTCATGTTCCTGATGGCAAATGCTCCTGACAGGTCTTGACTCCGGAATTCTCACTAAAACTAAGGCTCTTCTTGGCAGCTTCTGAGGAATCCACGTTAACCTCCTGCTCAGTCTTTTGTGGAAGAGATTAACCACAAGAGCAGCACCATCGGCCCAGCCCCACTTTGCAGACAGCTGCCTGTGTGGACAGACTCAGTTTGAACCCAGACTTGTGTCCCGCTGGAGACTCCTCTGAAGGCGGCGGCTGAGTCAGGCTTTTTGAAGCGACCATGCTTTCCGGAGCTCACCGATTACTGAAGCTGTCTACTGATGAGGACGTCCTGATTCCCCGAAGCTGAGGTCGTGAACTTAGAGCATATTTTTAAAACTGTGTTAGAGATCATTTCAACATTCATGTGGGGATGAGAAAAAAAAATTTGACGAATAATTTAAATGGTTACATCTTGGCCCTGCCTAGGATTGTGGATTCAACCACAGTGTGACAATGGGATTACTGTGCATGGTATATTTAAATTCACCCCACAAATGGCCTTGTTTTTTTAAAGGGACAGTCTCATTCTAGAATTAGAAAGAAAAATGCTTTGGAAACCGAAAGATCTCGCAAGCATGTTCAGACATTACTTCATTGGCCCCTGTAGCCCCTTTCTATCTCCCTTTTGATTCGGTTCAGATGCTGTGGCAAAGGAGGGTGCTGGGCCAAGGCCAGCCCCCTGCCAATGCAGAGGTGTGCCTCAAAGAGGATGGCACACACCCTGTGACAGCCGAGAGAAAACAGTGGTTGGCAGTTTGGTGTGGGATTGGCAGCTGCCTTCCTTCTGTCCCTGGGGGTGCCAAATGGGGGCAGGAGAGAAGAAGACTTTCAGAGCCGACTCAGTGACTCTGGGCTTGGTGACTCGGAGCCCAGAAGGCCCTGGGAGCCCCTGCCCACCCACTCCTTGGGGGGCCAGTAAGGGCATTTGGGAAAGGGCTCCAGGCCCTCAGTCATCATTTCAAAGCAATCAGCCCCGATTTTATCTCCCTAAACTGTAACCCAACCTCCTGCTTCTACACACGAGGAAAATGAGTCCCAAGGGAGTAAAGGGCCCCACCTAAGGTCACGAGGGGAGTAGTAGCAAGCCAAACCTCTTGGTCCCAAAAAACTGGGCAGGGAGGAAAAATTGAGCAAGCAGGAGAAGGGAGAGAAAGAGAAGAAAAGGACAGAAGGAGAAAATAAAGTGTTGGACGTGTAGGACGTTTTTGCGTTCCTGACCATGATCTGCAGCCTGCTCACCACCCTGCATGTGGCCTGCATGTGACCTCACTGACCATCCTGTGGGACACGCACCGTGGGAAGCGGCTGGAGACATTCAAGGGAAGCATACACCTTGGCCACTGCTCCTATAGGAATGGAAACTCCAGAAACGGAGCATCACACCTGTCCCAGGCACTGTACACACATGACCTCATTCAAGAAAACTTGTTGCCCATTTAGGAGTAACCTGCTCCTGCCGCTCGTGGGTTTGCTGAGGCAGGGCCCTGCTCCATGGGCCCACCCTTCTCTGCATCTGTGCACACCCACCTATCCCCACATTATGAATACCCACTGGGTTCCTGGCACAGGAGAGCTGAGAAGGCCTGTGAAGGCACTGGGGGAAAAATAAAAGAAATGGTAATCCTAGTCAACATGGTAATATTCTTCCTCTCTCTTTGCGACCTAAACAAGAATCTTCCGTATAGTTTAAAAAACAAAACGAAACAAAAGGCAGCTGGGAGGAAGGAAACATTATCTTCTCCAACACCCTAGCTCTCAATGTCCATTATTTCCTGGGATTGAGTGAGGTTTTTGGCAGGAAAGGACATTGTTCTGTTTCTCAATTGAGTGGTGGATGGTAAAGGTTTTCTGGACTTGTTAAACTTAAAGGAAAGAGTGACACTGCCCTAAGCCTTGTGCCACACGCGGCCAGCCTCACTTTTTAAGGAGCTGAGGTGATGGAGTGACACCCAGGACCTGCAGGTGAGATGGGGGACAGAAGCAGCAGAGCCTTTGGCATCACGCAGCTGCCCCCGTGGCAGCGCCCCCCACCCCTCGGGGTCGCAATGGCATTTCTCCCGCTGGTGAGCAGGAATGTGGTTAGAAAAGGGGACAAATGAAAAAGGGAGAGTCCTCGTGCCCCTGGCTGAAGGTGGCTGCCAAGGGGCGAGAGGGTCAGCGGACGCCTGCCACGGCGGGCATGGTGCCTGGAGGGACCCAGAAAGGAAATGTTCTGTCTTGCTTTGCTGGCTAATTGTTCTTCCTCTGTGGCTCCCGAAGTCGGTTATGCTCTCCCTAAGACCAAGAGTCATCTGCCTGATGCTCCTCCTCTCCAGAGCTGCGAAAGGCAGTCCCGGAGAGCCCAGCTCCTCCAGGAGGAATGAGAGCGGAGCAGCGATCTGGGCATCGGTGAGAACTCTGCGGGCAAGCGATGAAGTGGAAAGTCTGCACACCCCTGGCGGGCCGGAAATGTGAGCTTACCTTCAGTTCCTCATGAGGCCTGGGGCAGGACAGACACACAGGATGTGACCAACACAGATTTGTGGAGATTTTGCACGAAGAAAAGGAGAGCAGGATGGCAATGTTTCCTGGAAGCCTGTCTCTTGCCCAGGGAAAACCCCAGAATGGTCAGTGCCACCTACTCTCCTCCCTTTCAGAAAGGACTAACTGATCCTCCTCTTGCCCTGACTGTAAATTCTGAACTGACTTCCTAAGAATACGTCAGACCTTGGAAGGAGAAAGAGCATATTGGCTAAAGGAAGCCCCACCACATTCTCACATTCACAGAAACGAGCAGGAAGCGGATGCAGGGACACGGTCTTTGGAAATAGGTCAAGTAAAGGGAATGGCTTGGAAAATCACCTTCCATTTGCCTTCAGAGGCTATTAAACAGTAAAGGAGATTCCCAAAGGAAGAGGTGAGATGTCTGCCCCCATCGATCTCTATAAATAGTCTAAATACTCAGCATTCTGGAATGATTCAAGGTGTGATGGCCCTGGCTGAGGGCAGGAGAAGAATGAGGGCACCCCTCGTGGTTCCCCCACCTGTAGGATTGTTCATGGAAGCTGTGGTTTTGTTGTTCCAGCCAAACTCACCAGAACATATACTCTCTCTGAGCATTCTTATTCATATCGTGTAAGTAACTTGATAAGCATTTCCTGAATCTTCCTGGCGCTGTGAAAATAATGACCCAGCTTATACACACTTTCCAGGAATGGATGAAGTGAGACGCATCTGCAGATCAGCCTTCCTCACAGCCTACGGTGTCCATGCCCAAACACCCCTCTCCAGCCACGAATGTCCTAACTCCACTTTTGAGCTTCACAGTCTTGGCTGTTCTTTTTTGCTTTGTCTCCAAGCTCTGATGACTGGGCAGTGCACCTATTAATCTTGAATGCAATGAAGTCTCTGCCACTTCCATTTGAAAAAGAAATAGCTTTGCCTTTTCCATTTGATTCGACAGCATGAAATATTTATGATTCCTCTGGCACCTCCAAGCCCCTTCTCTCCCATCGATTCTCTCAGTCAGCACTAAGTGCTCACTTTAACGAGAGTACTTCCCGTCCATCAGGGAAAGCCCAGGATGACAACATTCAGTGAGCCCAGCTGCTCCGCATCCACTGGGTCACTAGCAAACCTCCTGGTGCTCACATTGGGGGCTCTTGTGGGTTTCCAATCCACTCTGCCAAAGATTACTGGCCCCCGGGCCTCTGGGGTCCTGCTTTTCCTTCTTGTCTTCTTCCACCTAGGGGTTCCTGCTACACACAAACAGGACTGGCCTCTTTGGGTCTCCTGTGACTCAGAGGCTAAGTCGGGGCAATTGGGGGCGCAGCTGCTCTGGGAGGCCCACTGCAGATCCCCAGAGGACTGGGACTCTGAGCAGTTTGAGTGACGTGGGAGGTGGGTAGGTCTTCCAGAGGAGAAAGTACCCATGTTGCTATTCTTGAGGCTGACCAGAGGTTTTCCTGTTGCCTCTCAAAAGTGACTCCTGCTCTCTCCCTGCCGGTCCCCAAACAATACTCCTGACTTCACTGTGCCAGTAATTCCTCCAAGCTCACTCACTGTCATAGGGGCAGAAAATAGTGCTGGAAATGGTGGGAACACTGATCCCAACTGACCAAGGAAAAGATATAGAGTTCTATAATCACCAACCCTTTCTGTGCCTCAACTCCTGGGGATAATAGTGGTCATCTCCATCCTGAGTGATTAAAGAGGGTTATATATAATAGATGTCAAGAGCTTAAAACAATGCCTGGTATTTAGTAAGTGCTCAGTAAACAGGAGCTGTTATTCTTGTAACATTGTCAGAGTTATTTGACAAGGCCATGGCAGGCCCAGCCATCGACGACAGGGAGATGTCTCTGGCAGATGGCAGGGAGACACAGTGGTGGGCTGAAAGCCAGGGAGCAAAGAGAACTAAAATGGGGCAACTGCTGCCTCAAGCTGGAAGCCCCTGTGTACTTCCTGCTTTCAGCCCAGAGCCAGCAAGTGGGAGGAGCGTGCAAAGTATGTTGAGCAGTAGGTTAACTAGGCTGACCCCATGCCCCCAGGCTCTAGTAGCATCGTCTATACATGGGAGTTCAATGGATCCTGAATGTCTAGATTTATGGTCAGCATCCTCTCCATCCTATTTTTGCATCTTCTTAGTGTCCCAAGTGTTTTGCATAAGGAAGAACACCATCCTCTCTCTCCCCTCAGTGCCTACCATCAGAACATAACTGTCAGGGAGCCCAAACTCCCAGAGTCCAGCACTTTGCCAACTGTGTAACTATGTCACTGCACAGTGGTTAAAAACAAGAGTTTGGGAGTAAGACAGACTGGGTTCAAATGCTAGCTCTGATACTTGGTACCTGGGACAAGCTATTTAACCTCCAGAAGCCTCAGTTTTCTTATTTATGAAATGAGGATCATAAAGTTGTCACTCATAAACTAGGGGTTTTATTAGATATTGCAAGCAAAGAGATCAGCAAAGTGCCTGGCTCATACTAAGCACTAAAATAAATGTGGGTTAATATGGCCACTATTGTTCACGAGTTAATACACTTAACCAGAGGACAGTTGACTTTCACTGAACCTTCCAGAGTCCACACCACAAGGCTATCAGAATGGAAATTAATGGTGGATACATTGTGCAGGCCAAAGGGAGAGAGAGTTATGAACAATTCATTCTCTGGACAGATACTCCTTCAGTGCCAGCAATGGAATGCTACCTCCTTGACCAAGGAAAGCAAAGGGAAGGAAAGCCTGCTACTGGGCTGGAAGGTGAACTGAACTCATTCAGCCCTTCTCTATGTCAAGGAGGCAGGGTGGGGAGAGACAGAACAAATAGAAAACTGATTCAGAGTCAAATGCACTCAACCTGGCAACTGGGCCAATTTCAGTCACAAAGTTATTTTAAGTGGTGGCAACAGGAGGTTGGTTTGAGGTGGCTTAATTACACTGTCTGCCCTGCAAAACATGCAAAAACTGGAGAACATAACAGAAATGATTAACAGTCACTATGGCTAACCTGGTACATTCTCCTGAAATCTCATACACGGGCTGGTGCTTAAACGGTGCTGCCCAGCCCCTCCCGGGCGGACCCTGCAAGGAGGCATTAGCTGTGATGTCCCTGATGTGAAACTCCTGGGCCCTCCTGGAAAGGGTTGGGCAAACACAGTTGCTTGATGCAGCTCCATTTGCCCAACGGGTGTCAGCATGTTGTTGCAGTAGAAGATGTTACACTCGGCCACGCTGGCACTTTCTCCATCTGTTTACATTTAGAATGGGACTCGTTGCCAAAGTTGAGGAATCCCAGTGCCCACAATCCAGAAAGCACAGGCCAAAGGGTGGAAATAAAAACAAATTGAGAAATGACTTGTTGCTAACTTAGTTGGATTCAGAAGGACTAGGAATTTTCCCCTAGAGTGTTCAGTCCCAGAGAGGAGGGTCTCAGTGATAGAAAACGAGTTCATCACCTTAACAATGGGCTACCTTCTCCACCACCAGCAGACCGTGAGCTCCTCAAGGCAGGCAGGGACATGCTGAATTATTCTTAGTTTTCCCAGCTGAGAGCCTAGTATCTGTGCTTCATAAATGCTGGTTGGTTGAATGAATAAATGAATTGTTCTCAGTTCTTTTTGGTGGTTTTCAAACGTGGCTGCAAATTCTTTGATGCTCTTCCGTTGAAAGGTAACATCTGCATCCCCCTCCCTTAAATCTGGATGGGATTCTGACTACTCCCACCACCCTAGTTGAGCAGAAATGACACCTATGTGATTCCAAAGCTAAGCAATAAAAGGCCATGCAGCTTTTGCATTTGCTTCTGGAGCCCTGAGCCACATGCAACATGTCCTGAGGCTGCCATGGTGGAGAAGCCACGTGCAATGATGGCATGGAGAGGCCTTGATGTTACCCAGAGGGAGATGCCCAACATGACCCCAGGCATTTGACATGTGAGTGAAGAAACCTATGGATGATTTTGGCCCCACCGTGTAAGTTACTCCCGGCCTTTTGCATCTTCCCAACTGAAGCCCCAGTCATTGTGGAGCAGAGATAAGCCATTCTTGCTGTGCCCTATCTGAATTCCTGACCCACGGTATCCATGAGCATTAGAAAATAGTGCTTGCTTCTTTTACACAATGAAGTTTGGGGGTGGTTTGCACGTGACAATAGACAAACATAACAGTCTTCAGATTCAAGAGAGGAGAGCCTGTGCTATGCCAGCCCCTTCTAGTTGGTAAAAATTCCCACAGTCAGCAAGCTGATCTTAAAAAAACTTAAATTCTCTCTTCAACTGAAGCCCATAACTTCTTTATGCGACCTCTGAAGAGATGGGCAACAGCTGGTTCCCGCTCTCACTTTATCACAGGCCTTCACAACTTAAAGATATTAAGTAGTTTTCAGCTTTTTCAACTTGGGTCAAATACTCTAAAATCTTTGCAGGTCCTTTTATCTGTCTTCATTTTACTTTGTATTTGTCACCCTCTAAAAACAGATGTCAACAGCTTTTGGAGAGATGGAGAGTATCAGCATGAAACAAGAGCCTTAGATCAAAATAGCAACGTTCTGGCATTTAAGGTATTTTACGTTATGCAGACCATTTTCACCTGTATTACCTCCCTACTCCCCGCCTCCCTAACGACCCAGTGGCATAAATGAGATGGACATTTATTCCTACTCATTAAAGTTAAGTTCCTTTCTCAAGATCATACTTATTAATGGCCGAGTTGAAACTAGAAAACAAACCTCCTTGAATTACAAGTATATAGACAAGGATAGAAAGAAAACTGCAAAGACTAAAACCAGCTGATGTGTTTGAATAGCGAATTATTTTCTCTTCAATTTTCCTTGATTATAATCTTGTCTTTTCAATAAGCAAAATCAGGACATTTTTTAAAAAGAAATACCAGGTCTTTAATAAAGTGTTTGGACATGGTTGAAATATTTTGAAGTATGTAATTTTAAACAGAACTCCAATTTTAGGTACAACAGAAACTACATAGTGAATTATCTTCTTGTTGCTGTCACTGACTTTAATTTTTCTACTTCTAGAAAAATAGAAAATTTGTGGTGGTCAGAAACAAAAATATATTGAGTACCACTGGGTTGGCCTAAAAAATGTATATATATTTGTACTTAAACTACAAATGTGTTCTATTACATGAACAATGTAAGTATTAGACCATGAAGAAGTGAGCAGGATTTTATGGATACCGTGTAACATCATCAACAAGCCACTTGAATGAAAGTCCCAGCTTTGCCTAGTGCTACGCTGGTGATAGAACACAGCAGGTTGAGACATGATGGCCTGTGCTCTATAAAATAGGCATGTGTTCACATTTATTCTCAATGTCAGGCCTTCTGGTGGGCATAATAAGACACACAGGCAGGAAGAGTATGCTCTGAACAAAGCCAAGGGAGGAGAGAAGTGTTGGTGATCCAGAAGAGAGGCATGCTCAAGGTAGACTGTAATGTGAATAAGGTTGACAGTTATTCCTACTTAGCAAAGTGAAGCTACATTTTCAGGATATACTTGTCAATGGCTGGGCTGAGACTAGAAAGCAGAGTGAAGAGACATCGACCCGAGGCTGTGTCACTATGAGAGAGCAAAGACTCACGCTTTTCTCTACAGCATTCCACAAAGAATGCCCCACGCAAACCTGAATCTGAATCTCTGCTGGAGGGTGGGAGGGAGTCTGGAATCTGCATTTTTAACAAGTATTCCAGGAAATTCTGAGGCACACTAGCATATGTGCGTTTATTCATGTCATCTCAACAATTCAAAAGGTTACAGAGTCATGCAAGACTCAGAGACTGCAAGACTGTCGAACAGTGACTGGAGGAGTGAAACTTGAACCCTTCTGACTTTAGAAGCAGACTCTGTTCTCCACCTTGCCACAACCTAGTGGCAAGTCTTTACACTTCTCTGAGCCTCAGTGTCCTTGTGCACAGGGTGAGAGGTTGCACCGCATTAGCCTTAAGAGTTCTTTTATGCCTGACATTTGACAATGACTTGAGATGAAACAGTTGGCTGCACCCAAAGCGCCTGGACACAAGGTGCCATTTTGGATCAGAGAAACTTACACAAACTTTAGGCCAAATGGTTTTATAGTGGTCTCTGAATCCCCCAGACTGATTTAAGATGTATTTGAGAAGAATAAGCATACGGCCCATTTATATCAAGATCCAACCGAGTTCTAATTGGCGCTGCATATGCCAGATCTTGCAAGGTGATTGCCACCAGCGACCCAGCTGCAGCGGAGAGGATGTGGGCACAAACCTTTTAGACTTGGGTGTGTCACTTTAGGCCAGGCCAGAGCCATCAAAGCACCATGCTTTCCTCCACCCTTTCCGACTGCCCCAAGATTGGCACAGCGCTTACTAAGACCGAAAGTCACAGTTGCCTATCTGGGGGCCAACAGTCTTTTCTAGGTGCCAGACAGAGAGCTGCCACCAAAGAGATGAATTTTTCATAGCCCCAAACCAGTTGCTTCTGCTGCCTGATGTGCCACCCAACCAGGCCTGACCTTTATGCTCCGCCAGACTGCACTGCAACAAGTGACAAGTGCACATTTACTGTCAAGGTCTGACTGCAAATCTTTGTCATCTTAATCCGTCATTCCGAAATATACAATGTCACGTACTTAGGCCGTAAATCCTTCTTTTGCCTAACAGTGTTTTAGAGATAAATTGGCAATGAAAGGATACTGCGTTGTTATCAGGCTGTTTGTCAGTTGATTCCATTTATCAATTTATCAACACCATTTTGCAAGAAATAGTCTCCACTTTAGAGTTGACATTTCATACATAACAGGGAGGGTTGGAATCTTACTCAACTGCCAGCACATTACATAATAGAATGTGTCACCAGGCCTCAAATGAAGCAGCAAGGCTATGCATGTAGGTGACACCAAAGCCAATACGTGCTTAGCCAAAAATGATTCAATGCCTTCAGAATGTGGGATGCAAAATGAGATCGTGTAGGAGTCAGGGGTCAACGGCGGTAGAGTGCAAGAGAGGGATCTGACAACTCCCAGGCTCTGGACAGTCTGTTCTCGGTTATCTAAGAGGAGGGAGGAATACTGAAGGATACCCCTAAATGCGTGGATCAGTTTCACTATTTGGCCTGATTTCATGTGTCGGTTTCCCATCCCTCCCTAATGCCTTTCTTGGGCTGCAGATGGGCCTAATTAGCTGGTTTGGTCATTAGTTATCAACTTCAACTGAGATAAAGGGCAATTAGGGGACGGTGGGGACAGGGGTCCTGTCTATTAACTGCCAAACCAGACAACCATCCCTAATTAATCAGGAGCAAATGAAGGCTGTTAATGGTTTTCACTCAAAGATAGCAAAGTATGCATATTTTGAGAACTCCCCAGCATATAGTGCAGAAACCCTGAGTGTTCTTTCTAGCCCTTTCTGGTTCTGGACTGCGTAACTCAAGCCATCCAGGTCACCTTTCTGGATCTCAGTCTTCTGAAAAGTGAGGCTAATGGATGTGGCCTTCTGCAGAAAAGCACTGGTGAGGAATAATGATTAAAAATTATTATGAGGCCATTTGTAATATCAAAGAGGTGATGAAGCAATAACAAGCTTTGACCAGAAGCCGTATGTTTTGTGGAATAGCTGCTTTAATTGCTCCTGTTCATCATTAAACTGGTACAGGAGTGTGGAAGAAGGCCGGAGGTAAGCGCTGTGGTGGTCCTGGTAGGCTGTGGAGTGTGGCCTTTTGCAGGCTTTTGCAACACTGCCCTCTATCGGCTTCCAGCATAGAATAAGCCGCCGAAGCTGAAGAGTCCATTTCCCTCAGCCATGTGTCTTCCGACCTCACAGTGGAGGCCCCGAGAGCTGGTGTGCAAGAGCCTGTGACTAGACTGCAGCTGAGGGCTTCTGCTTCACCGAGTGTGTGTGTCCATTAGGAAGCTGCTGAGTGGAAATCTTCTTCCCTGGGATTTTAAACAGCCACATTTCCTGGTATTTGACATCAATGGGACATTTAGCAAACAGAATGCCAGATGGAGCTCCTGGCTCTATTTTCTGTAAGACACTTGAGAGTCAGAAACCGGCAATGTCTGTATTTGATAGGCCTGCTCACCGCAGGGCTGGCAGGGCTCAGTGGACATGGGGCACCCTGTGGGCTGCCAAGTCAGGGGAGTTCTGGGACTCACAGGACAGCAAGTGGCAGCTCTGCCTACAGTGCTGCACATAAAAGCATCCTCGGAATTCACATTAACACTCAGACACTCACAGGAAAACAATGAAATCTTGGGTCTTCCCTAGTGGCTCAGCTGTGCTCCCACCACTTTCTATGTGACCACATGACAGATAGAAATCATTTTGGTTATTTGGTGTTAATAATTCACATTCGTGTGATCACAGCCCATGATTGTGGGGCCTTGAAATTTCTTTATTAATCACTATATTTACAAAGGCTTAGAAGAAAATCTCAGCGGTAACCTGAGAGTCTTTGATATGTTCAAAATTCTCTTGTAATCACGCTGAAGATGTCTGTCAGTGATCAAGTCAATGAAACGATGATTCTCTGAGAATGAACATTTGGATTTCTTTCTTTCCATCCAGTTGCTAATGTCTTTGGTGTCCAGGCAGGCAGATGTCCCTTGGCTTTATTCAGCTGGTGTCGTTCTTTGCCATATGCAGAGATTATCCAGAATTCTAGAACGGTGATTCATCCCTGCGGATTTTTTAAGCATGTAGGACTCAAACTGCTGTTAAGCGGGCATGGTCCCGTCCTTCTGAAGTTTGCATGCTGTTATTTTTACAGATGTTCTCCTCCTTTCCCACCTTAATTCAGGTGGGGGGAGTTACTGGGAAACGAAACTGCATTTCCTCTAGTTCCCTCCTCCCTGCACGGTTGACTTGAACTGTGAGCCCACAGATATGCTCTGCCGGTCGGAGCGTGAGTTGTTTACCACCTCACCCAGGAGATGTAATGATTACCTACTTTCGCTGGCTTTAGAAAAAGGTTGCCTCATAAATATGCGGGGAGACGATCTGTATAACTAGCACATCTTCCCTCTGCCTTAGATTGTACAGTGGTACCTCCTTCCTTAAGGAGAGGCGAAACCAGTCTCTGGCTGCTCCTGCGAAAGAATCTACAACGTGCGTCACAGTTTAGGATAATTTCCCACACTCCAAACACACTCAACTGCTCTTCTCTTGTTGCGAAACAAAACCCTCATCCCCCACGACTCTTTCAACAACAAAGAAACAATAAAGAACGTTTTTCCTTTTTCGAGTAAAACTACTAAGAATAATAAAACAAAAACCTTCCATTTATATTTATTCAGCTTCCCTTGGCTCCCCTACATTGAGCTGTTTGAGGACCATGTCAACAAATCTCAACTCCAGAAGGAGTGTTAGAAAATATCCATCCCAAGCTTCCAGTTCACATAGGATCCCATTCTCTGTATAAATACTTCCCCTGACAAAGAGCCTTCTCCTTAAAAGCTTGTCCATTCCATTCTGAAGAGCTCTACCAGAGGATAATCAAAAGGAAGGGCCTCTCTTTCACGGGACCTAATATCTTATCAGTGTTCCTTTCAGATATGTTCACAAGTAAGAGGAGAGGGAATTACGAGACTCACGAATAGGCCATTTCTGTGAAATAACAGCACAATGGACAAAATTTGATAGACTTCATCAATTTTATCAATGGTGAAAAGAGAAGTCTTATAGAGGGAAGCTTGGCAAACCCCAAAGCAACCCTTTTATCTGCACAGTGATCATCTGGATACAGTTGTGCCATGTGGCATTTTGGTCTAACACAAGCACAGAATAACATGTAGCATATACCCAAATTAAGTGAACCACTAGTGAATAGGTTCTTAAAGTGTACAAAAGCCAACCACAGGACTGTAATGAAAGAAAGTGATGACAGACAAGTTAGAATGTACAGCCAGCCAATTTCTGAGTACTTTGGCTGACTAGTCTTGGACACGGGAAGAATTATGTTGCTCAATTTACAACTTATTAAAAAGGGAAAGAAGCTGTCAATATGGATGGCTGGTTCTATACCAAAGAAGACTAGGAGAGGTGATATTACAGAGCTCCTATTGAGCAAACTGTCAAGCAGTACTTAACTTACTTTTTTCCGTCACTAATCATTAGCAAAGAATGAATTTTCAAAACGTAAAAAACTGCAGTAGTCTTAGTAATCCATGGCTTCACTCTCTTCTTATCTGCAAAAGCCTAGACATGCTGATAGAATCAGCTTCATTCCTTAGGCAAGGCAGTAATTGCTTTTTCACATGGCGCGTGTTCCTTGCGAGCGGTTGCCTATAACATGCAGAATGGAATGCCTTTGCAGGGGGAAGGGTGCACTGGAAGTTTATTACAATGTTTTATGCTAGTACATGAAACCTTCCTCCCAATATAACATAAAAACTACTTTTGATTTACCAGAAGAAACACATGGTACCTTATGTATAGTCTATGAGCACATAATGCTAAGCCCCAGAATAGGTACTGAAGTGTCAAATATGCGAAGAAAAGAACCATTCTGGCCTAAATGGACTTTGAATTTGTTTTATTGCTCCATAAACGAAATCGAGTTCCCTGTGGCTTTCAGTTGGTTCTGGCTCTTCCATGAGCCAAAAGACTTGTGCTGTGGTCTCGAGTCAAGCACGCATGCTTGATTTTGGATAAACTTGCAGAGGCCTGGTTTGCCTCATCTGTAGAAAGAGGAAAGCTGGATTAAACTATCTCCAAGATTCACTGAATTCTTATATTCCGTGATTTTGTCTTGGATGAATAACTTCACCACCTCACAGTAGGGACCAAAAGACATCAAAAATCCCTCATGAGACTTTGATCCCGTTGGAGGGCTCCTGGACGGCATGTTTCAGAAGAGGAATAGGATGTTAGTCTCCTTACTCCCATGTGGGTGTGAATTAAGCATCCCACCCCTGAGCCACTTGTGACCTGAGAGAGACTCAAATTCCTTTCACTTTCATCCCTTTGTAAGTGGTGATAACCTGTCTGACCAACCCCCCCGACCCAACTAGGTCTCATTTATAAAAGTTAGTTAGATGATATCTTACATTTTTTATTCCATGGAAGTAAATCTTCTAAAAACGTAACTAATATTTATTTTTTAAAACAACATGTAAACAATCTATTTTGCTGTCATATATACGTAAAACCCCCCAAAAGAATATTTTGAGTGCACTATGACTCGTGAGTCAATTACCACTTTTCTTTACAATCATGATCCTTCTGATTTTTTTCTGAATTTACAAGTATTTATCAGAATAAGTCAGCAGCTTGGGCCATATTTCCTTCTCTCTGCCAAAGGATTTCATGTGGTGAGCTGGAATTTCCTTTATTTAAGATGCTTAAAAAATCTGGAATGGTCTTGCTGGTTCACTTCTGGAGTAGGAGTATCCAGCCAAGAGCCCAAACTGACCTGATGCCTGAAGGGTCTCTTTGCATGGCAGTAATTTATATTTCAAGTATGAAAAGTTAATGCCACGCAGTTGTTCAACACATGCAAGACCAAATTTCATAGAATATAATCTCCTGAGTCAGGAACACCCCAATGTATTTCAGGGCTGGGTGAAGGACTGGCGCATCTCCACCATAGCTTGTTGGTGGCTGACCTCTGGTCCTTAACTGGTGATTAATGAAAAGCACGAACGGTTCCTTGGAACTTCACAAGACTCTTCAGCAACTGTTTGGTTTCTTTCCTTCTGTTTGACTTGACTCATCAATCTTTGTGGGGACCCATTTATGTCAAATTATTTCAGGATAATAAATTATGTCTCTCATATTAATGTCACCAGAACAAGATATGAAGCTACTGATGATTTTTTTCATTTGATGTTAATTCTACCATAACTGTTTTTCACCTTTGAAAACCCAGCCATAATTTAGATCAGAATATAGATGCTTCAGGCCTTCTGTTTGTTTTTAGCACATCCTATGGGGGATTTTTTTAGTTAATTTCCCATAGGTACACAAAATTGAGAAACATTTTTTCCCAGTACTATTTTTAGGAACAAGTCAAAAAATTTCACTGTGACCCTAAGTTCACTGAACTATTTCTGGACCCAAAATATAAATCTGAACATTGCAGCCCGGGGGACCTTGGGATGATCTTCCCACTATGGCAAACTCTCTTCGGGACAGGGACGCTTCAGAGGCAAGCCAAAGACACGGGTTCGAAAGTAGGACCCCAAAGGAAAAGGTAAAGAAAGAAATTTTGTGGGTTTGGCCTGGAAAAGGGAAGAGTGAGGTGTGATTGACTCTGAGTCTTCAAGTTTGTGAAGGACGTTGACACGCAGGCGATAGTGGGAGGATATGTGAGGAGAAAGCAGATGCAAACTGCACCACCTGCACGTGTTGGGCACCAGGAAGCATTTCCTGACAGTGAGCACTGTTACACACTGGAACAAAGTGCCGAGGGAGGGTGGGCAATCTCCATTCTTGGCAGGTTTAGAGATTAGAGAGACTCTTAGCTGCTGGAATTGAAGCTACAGGGACAGAACTGAACCACCTCAAGGGACCTTTTTCAAGCATAAGAATCTCCCCACTGCTATGGTTGGAGGAAAACAGATAATGTGAAAACGAAGAGGGCTCTCAATTGACTCTGTTTATACATTTCCTTTTTCCGTCAAAACAAGATTTTTTTTTCTTTTCTGAGAGGATGTATATCCTGAGGAAATTATTATTTGCTATTTGCTTTTGATAAAAGTACTGCTAACCACTTCTGGTTTTATAGCAGAACCCACTGGCAGGGATGGTGGAAGGCTTTGGCAGGGCCTGCAACAGCTCAATGGTGAGTCCTCCGAAAATGTTTTCATTAGAGGAGACCTGAGAGCTCAGGGCCGCTCTGCACCATTGGCAGACACCCTTAGGACGTTGGTGTGTGCAGTTCTTGAAAAGGAAACCTGAGTTTTCACATGGCAGCACCTTGAGCGTTTTGGTAACTGCTGATCCACAGCATTCTGAGTGAGGAGCCTCCCCAGGCCACACTTGCTTTCAATCGGGGGCTTCTAAAAAAGTTGCACATGCTTCTTATAAGCTTCCGGATAAGGTCTGTGTAGAGCTGTATTGCATCAAACATGTGGTTTTCACACATATTGCTGTGACATCGCAGGATTTTTGCGCTTACAAGAAGATCTCGGGAGGAGGACCAAGAAAGAAATTTGAACCCCTCTGCAGACTTTTTTCCCCATTAAAATTAATCTTAGCCCAGATGTGCTCTGCCCACTCTTGCTGTTCCCATGCCTTAGACCAGTTGTGCTATAGCTTGCTAAATAAAAATGGAGACCTGCCTGCCAAAAGCAGTACAGCCATTCCAATAAAAGAATCCATTTTGTCTCTTTTAAAATACAGTTAATAGTAACTTCCAGATCATTTCTACAGCCCTTTCCAAGGGAAGCTGAAGCAAGCGTCCTTAGGGAAGGATTATTATCTATCCTCTCTTGGTTGTTGTTTGGGGCACAATATGTAGTTTTCCCCTGGCAGCTGGAAAATTATGTTGTGGCAGGAAGGACATCATTCTGCCTGTCTTGAAAGGCTTCTCCCAAGGGATCTCAAGCTGAGGCTGTGTTGATAAAATGCACACAGAGAAGACAAAATTTCTCTCTGCTGTTTCTCTTTCTTACTTTCTTTCTTCCTTTCTTTCTTCCTATCTATCTTTCTTTCCTTTTGGTTATGCATCTTTGGAAGGGGATAAACTAAATATAGAACTAAAAATAGAGAAGAAAATTGAACACCAAATTTGACATAGACAGGCTCTGGCTACGTAGCAAATGGAGTAAATGAAGGCAATTTCTATATAACTGTTTCAGCCCCAAATGGAAATTGGCACATTTGTAGATTGGGAGACCTTTCCGCAAATAAATCAATTGAGCTTTTTCAAAAGTGTGCAGGCATACACATCTGAACCATCAATACAACTGACTACGTTGTGGCTGAGAATGGACTGATGAAATCTCTAAGGAACTAGTTACACTGCCTTTCTAGGCCTTTCTCACTCTCACAAGTTGTGTTTTAGAAGCTCTCTCATTTCTCTCTACTAATGAGCTTCACTGTTTTATTTATTACACTTACTGGTAACCACAAACCATTTCAAGGTTCCATCTCTACAAGTCCCTTACATTTCAGGTGGTTTTGAAGAGTTACTCTAATTATCTGTCAGGCAGGAAGATAGCACCCAGCTATCTGAGAACGGCCCAGGCTTTAGGAATGAGAGCACTAAAACAAATTCTTAGACACTTTTGGGACAAATGAGTTCCTCTGACATAAATTGCTCCCCCTTTCTCCTCTGAGACCCTGGAATAAGTAGAGAAAAGTGTCTAGCCATCATACTCTGTGTTTGAATTTCAACCTCCCGTGTCTGAGCTGTCTGACTTTAAACAAATTGTCACCATCTCTGAGCCTCAGATTCCTCATCTGTAAAAATAAGTGTTCTAGTCTATTCCTTACAAGGTTGCTGTGAAGATCAATTGAGATGATATATACGAGGCACGTGGTGCAGAGCGGCACCTGGTACTATTGTTGGTTTTTTGGTTCATTGGTAAGGACATGCCCTAGCCTCTGTAGAGAGGAAAAACTATTATTCTACCCTCTAGGTCCTTCTGGCTGGTCTAGGAATTAAATTGTCATGAGACAGAATAACAGGAGAAAATCAAACAAAGTTTAATAATATTTATACATGGGAGAAACCCAGGAAAACTGAGTAACACACCAAAATGGCAGAAGCCACCACCTTAAATACCATTTTAAGCCAAGCACAAAGGAGGATGTCGGGGGTAGAGGTTTGAGACTTCAGAGAGGAAGAAGACAATTTACATGGAGATGGCAAAGCAGATGCTTGGTAAACAAATGCTTGCTGGGCCATCTATAGGCAATGCAACGCAAGAGAGAGAATTTTGATAAAAATGGGTTTAGCAAGGATCCTCCCAGTCTATCAAACCCAGAGTTATCTATGGTGATGGTCTGTCTGGGGACTGGCCTTCTATCTTAAATTCTTTTAGGCAGTTGAGGGGAAGGTCAAAGTTTCTTCCAGAGTCTTTTGTCTTTAAAAATAATGAAGCCAAAGAGACACATTTTGGGCTGGCCAATTCTGATCCCCCACATCTCAAACTTATATGAAGACTCCTAGAAGAAAATTGGAAAGAAGGCTCACAAGCATACAAAGGGAAGGCTAGATCCTAACATTAACATAACAGACTACATGAATACCCAAACAGTGAGTCTATTTTCCCATCTACCTTCCTGACCTCTTTCCTTACCTCCTGGGCCCTCTGCATGCGCTCCCAGATGCAGAAACTGGTTTAACTTCTGAAACTTGCAACCCTGATTAAAGTGATTCAATTGTTCAGCTCGCTCTTTCCCGAAGAATTCAGAATGGCAATGACCACATCCTCTCCTAACCGGTTCCCACATTAGTGCCTTTTCTATTCTCCTAAAAAAACATGACCTTCTGACCTGATACAACTGGAAGACTGTTGTTAACTTCCTGGGCCAGGGTCGCCTGGGGTCAGGTACAATAATATCCATTCCTTCCTCTGAACCTTCCTGGGAATTTTAAAAACCTCCCTGATCCATGGAAATGAGCTTTAATGGCCCTACTTCCCATTTCCAAAGGACTGTGGAATTTGAGCTTTACCAAATATCCAGCAAGGCTGCATTACCCTCCCTGCACTTTGCTGTTCAGCTCCGT